TTTTTTCAAATCACATCATTCCTCATCCTATTCGGCCAAAATTGGTCATCATTTTCTTTACCCGACAACTCTCTCATCGTTCCCGGATAAAGAGGGGCAACTGTTGATACCAATTTTGCCCTCATATTTTTTCAAATAATATAAATAATTTAAAAACATCATCTTGCATCATTATTTAGTTTACAAATCTATACAAGCATTTTTTCTACAATTTTTCGTAATTTTTAGAGCTTTAAAATTGATTTTCCTGCATTTAAATTACTTGAATAATTTATTAATTTCTCCTTTCAATTATTTTGTGATGACTTAATTACCTAAAATTATTATTTTGCATCTATAATACTTGCTTCAGATATTTTACTCTACTTTTATAATTACATTAGTATTTAGGCTAATTGCACAATCTTGTAATAATAGCCTATATTTTACAATTGTATTGCATTTGTAATTTTATTCAAGGTCAAATAATACTCCCTCCGGTCCAAAATAAGTGATTTTTTGGCCTTTTTCTTGTGGTCCAAAATAAGTGATTTTTTCAGATTTCAAGAATGAATTAATTATTTTTTTCCTACATTGTCCTTGGAGTAAATAGTGTTGGAATATGTGTTAGGAGTGTTTATGTGAGATAATAAAGGTTAATATGGTCAATTCCATTGCTAATTAATGTTAAAAGGTGGATTTCTTAGTCTGTGTGAAAACATCCAAAAAATTACTTATTTTGGACCGGAGGGAGTATCTTACATTTTCATAATGTTCTTCTATTATTTTAAAATATTGCCTTTCATAAATGGCATTCTTTATAATTTATTTTATTGATTTATTAAATTATTTTCCTTTAATCTCCTATTTAAAAACTGGCCCAATTTTAGGCTAATTTTCGGACCAATTTTGGCCCAAATCTTTAGTCCAACCTTCCATCCCAATCCAAGTAGCCCTTCTAAAATCCAGGCATGGCCCGTTTGAAATAACCCGCCCTAGTCCCTTTAAAATCCTGGTTGTTGATCTTAAGAGATCAACGGCCCACGATTAACCCCCTCTTTTAATTATCCACCCCAACCCTAATCCTCACATTCATTCTGCCCGGCCGCCCTAAAACACTCTCCACTCCCTTCTCTTTCATGAACCCTAGCCGTCACACCCCAGTTCCTCTCCGATCCAACCTAGAGATGGAATCCACCTATGATATACTTACCTTATTAATCTTCTCTCACTATTGGTCGTCCATTTATGGTGTTACTTAGGTTCTTGCCTAAGTTTGGCAAGTATCACTTCCGAGATCGAACTAAAATGGCTCGAATCTTTGATCTTGGGCGTTATTCCGTCTATATACGCTCAACAAAGAGCGATTTGCACTCTTGGTTCGAGTTTCAGACGATTGAACCCAATTAGGGTTTGAGGCTCTCCATCTCCTTTACTGATTTCGATTTGCATGTGATATTCTCTTTCCTTATTTCTGCTTAATTGATTGTTTTCCATATTTGTTCTTTCAATTTCTACTACTATATAAACCCCTCCTCATTCCCCTTTAAGACAAACCTTTAACCGTTAGATTTCACTAAAAATTGAAGTTATTGTTCTATGGTTCTCTCATTCTCTTGTTCTATATTTTGATTCTTGGCCGGCTGAAAAGGCCACCGAGATTTGATTTTTTTAAACTTTTCTTGTTGCGAGCATTGCCCGGGGTTCATTTGAAGCCCTTGGGAACTCTGACGCACTAAGATTTTGGGTTCTTGCTCTTTAATATTCAGAGTACTGTGGAAGTTGTTCTTTTCTTGTTGTTTGTTTAACAGGTAAGTCACTTGGCTTTACGATTTCATTATTTTGTGTCTATGTCCTGCATATTTACACCTCTGAAATTTCATGACTTAGTGTGTTTCTGGGCTATCTCTGTGTGCAACCTTGTTAGCATTGAACTTGTTTTGTAACCTGAACCTCTCCTAGCACTTGATTTTACCTAATGCTACCAGTTCTAGGACATGCTTATGCCTAATTTGAATAATTTGGACTTTCTTAAGTTGGTTTAGCTAATGTGTTGGTGCCTGAATGTTCATATTTGCTGCTGAGCACGAGTATGATTTCCTACTTTGTTCTGAATCCTTGTAATGAATGCCTCACATTTGTAATGTGTTATAACCTGTGTTAAGACCTTCACTATTAACTATGACCTGCTCCCCTGCTATTGTGTCACTCAACATGTCTTTGTTTGCTTAATTATATATCCTTAGTAATTGTTCGAGACCTTTGGAATGGCTATCTTAATTTATGTTTCCATACATTGTTTAATACTGCTTCATAATGCAAATTAACATGTCTGTCTTTTGATATTGTGATGGACACTTAGCATAATTTGGACCCTTTAGATTTAAACCTTCTAAGTTAGTGCCCTACTTAGACTTGTTTGGTATTATGCACCTCTGTATGATAATCTTGTTAATCTTGCAGACTTGTTTCTCCCCTAACTCTTTCAATATGTTTCTGCCAATGTGTTACTTTTTGCTAAGTGTTGAACCTGCTACTAAGTCTTTTTGACCCTTTTAATTGACATGTTCTGTGTTTTTAACTTAGTTATGTTTGTTTTCTAAAAATACAAGTCTATCTTTTCTAATTCAGTCCCTTAATCATTGTTCTCTCACTCTCTTTTGTTACCTACATTATTCTGAATCCATCACTCTTGGCCGGATAAAGTCCAAGGCCACTAAGACTCTCTCTATTGACCTCCCTAGTGTGAGCACTGCTCGGGGTCCATTTGAGATCCTTGTGAACTCTAACACACTAGTACTTGAGGTTCTTTGCCCACTCTCCCTACTACTGAGACTTGAGCTATCTCTAATGCTCAGTATTTTCCTCATTCTATCTACTGAATATGCAAACTGGTTTGTTTAAGTGATTCAATGTCTGGATCATATGGTCAATATACGGCTGTTCGGTTTGGCTCGAGTTCCTCTATGGTTTCTGGGCCATAATGATGAATATAGTCCTCTGTTGGAATCTAGGTACGCCAATGCTTGGTGTTTCCTTTGGGCCTGCTATCGGCCTACTGTTATTGTTTGTGTAATATTTTGTAATTATATTCATTACTGGGTCTGTAATAATTTTATAATAAACAATTGGGGTGTTAGTGAAATTGGAGAAATGGATATATTCTAATGTTTGCGTGAAAGGGTAGAAAGCATGCCTATAGGATTCATATGATCTACTTGCTATCCAACCTACTATATATGTCATTCAATTTCCATGTGCATTGGTAGAAATCATGCCATTAGGAAAATCACACACTCACACAACTTGTATGTTATCAAAGAATAAGTGCTTTATTTATTCCTATGTATACGGCTAGACAACATGCCTATAGGAAAACAAAAAAATGACAATGACCATTCTATCAATTTGCATAACTGCAGCATATTCACTAGAAATCATGCCTATAGGATTTTAATTATCTAATTTGCTATTGTATCATACTATTCACCTAGAAAACATGCCTATAGAGGCTAAAATATAAAAAATCGATCCCAATCGCCAATCTTTAGAAATCCTGCCTATATTACTACTTGCTCTAAAGTGTTAATGATGAACTCTTCAAATGTTGTTTTATTGCTTAGACATGCTACTATTAGAAAGCATGAGTAATTCTGAGCACTTCCGATAGTTTTTACTGTCCCTTACTGTGTAAATCACTTAGAAATCATGTCTATAGGTTTAATAACTCATAACCTGTAATCTCAATAATCAGCACACAATACTCCTAAACCATATAGTTGTTTGGAAATCATGTCTATAAGTAACGCCTTGCATCTGAAACTGCCTGTACGTTTGAATCCAAGGTCATATAGAAATCATGTCTATAGGGCTTAAGGACTTTAATTGGTCTCAGTTCTGAAACTGCCTAACGCCTAATACGAAAACCTATTTTGCGTGCTTTTATTGTCTAAGTGTAGAGGCAAGCTTGAGCCCTTAACTGCCCTCACTCGAAGTCCAACTTGTTTTGTATGTTGCCTAGTTTTATAATTTTGAGCAGCCTAAGTTAAGTCTTGAACCACCCTAAATAGAGGTCCAATGCCTCCTAGACCAAAGGCATGGGACGGGTAGTGCACGTATAGAGCACGACTTAGAATTGAATTAGAACGCTTTTACGTAAACAACTTTAACATAGTAATCGGGTAGCAGGAGATGATAGCTATGCCCGCTGAATAATATGAGTAACTCCCTACTTCAAGGGAGTTGCAAAGTGTTATTTATGTTGCATGGGGTGATCCTTTAGGCTAAATAACTTAGGACCCTCCCCCCCCCCCCCCCC